CATGTGTGAACCCACTTTGTGATAATCCATTGAATTCTCCAATCACTAATTGTTGAACATAAAAGTCTGGCCTTACAGTACAGCAGTTAAGCACTGTGCAGAGGAAGCTGGATCCCACATGACCTACTGAGGTTTGACTCATGGCCCCAGTGGCAACATGCCAGGTATGCACACATGTGCATAGACTCCTGCCAGGATGAAGGACTGGCAGAAGAAAGGTTGCAGCACAACTAGGCCCCACTGGGGAAGGCCTTCTCTATCTCTTACATTCATGTACATAGACTCTATCGCAAATAAAAGGGGGAGAAATCTTCAATGTTAAAAAAATTCTGTATGATACTTCAAATTTTATGTTTTTAATTACTAAGAACAAGGCAGTTATACAAATAGGGGAAAAAGGGACAGCCAGGGATTCTGGTAAACATCTTATGATACTAATAATACATGTGAAAATATTCAACTTCATTTGTATCAAAGAAAAGTGTATTAATACAAAAAAAGTATTTTTTGTATTTTCATTACTACCCAGTGTTGATGAGATGAAAGGGGAAATGCCTGCTATTAATGAAGGAAAACATGAACTGGTACACTTCTAGAAGGTCACTTGCAATATATACTAAATGTTTTAAAAATACGTATCATGAGGGCCAACATGTATAGCCTGACAGTTAAGGCACTGGACTCCCAAATGGCTGACCACAGTGTGAGTCCCGGACCTAGAGACTTGCTCGCTCTCGCTCTCTCTCTCTCTCTCTCTCTCTCTCTCTCTCATGCATATGCCCTATAGCAAATTTAAAAATAGTAATAATGCTAAATAAAATTAAATAAATCATTCCTTTAAAATTATGTATTATGGGATGAGCAGTTGGCATAATGGCTATGTCTCTGGACTCCCATGTAGTTGATGACAGTTCGAGTCCCAGACCCAGTGGCTTATACTCACTCCAGGTGTGTTATATATATATATGCGTATTATGTTTAAAGTTTCATCTTACAAAAAGTAATCAGACAAATGTGTCAAAATATATGTGTATATGAAACAATTTGCACAGCTTATCAAGTTAAAGTAAATTACAAAACAGTAACAACACATTTGTAAGGGAAGGAACATGAAAAGGCTTAGAATCAAAACATCAAATACAAAAGCTAAAATATTAACTTCCATTTTCTTGAGTAGTATTTTGTTTTCCCGACTTTTTAAAAATTTGTGTGCTTTCTAAGCTTTCCACAAGGAACAGGTACAATGATTTTAAAAAGCTCTGGAACTAGCCCTGTAGTGCAGTGATGAGGCACGGTGCATAGAGAGCTGGATCCCACACCGCCAACCATGCTTTCAGTGTCCACCCAGCAGCCTGAAAAACATGCTAGGCATGTGTGCATGTATGTCCCAAATCCACATGGGATGGAGAAATGGAATAAAAAGGACTACGGCCTGACTCTTTTTGTGAGTGCACATGTACTGTGGCAATAAAAAAGTAAAATTAAAAAAAGGTGCTTATATTAAAATAAGCTTATCAATGAATAAGAGAAGGATCGCCTAACACCATGTGTGTATGCATATATATTTGTAAGGGAAGGAACATGCACACACACACACACACACACGTCTCAAATGGCTATTGGTTTTCATAAACATGTTTGAATATTATAAGCATCACACTGTGTTTTCCAAGTAGCCAACTTCAGCCAACATTTGATAGAGCAATTCTTCTCCCAGGGAAATGATATTGTTTTACACTTGGCATCTTACTCTAGTAATCAGAAAAACAGATTGAGGTCGTTTCACTGACAGGATTTTTTAAGCTACTGTGACTTAAAGTACAATTTTTTCTCTCTACTGTTGAGCAATAATCTCTTAAGAAAATGAAAAGTGGATATGATAGCTTTTCCAACTTAAATCTTTCTCATTTTCTGGATAAAAATATCAAGGCAATATGCAAAAGACATATGAAAAAGAACAAATGGTATGGAAAAACAAAAGTCATAAAAAGTCACATACTGAGGATTAAGAAATGATTTTCCACTTTTACTTTGTTTCCCAGGAGTCTTGGCAAGAAGCACTTCCCGCTTGTACCAAATAAGTAATGATTTCCTCTAGGTCAGTAAACTCCAGCATCGATTATATTCACTTACAATAAGTTTAACCAAAGCAAACCCATCCTTGCATGTCGATTCCCTTTCCAAGGCTGATTTCCAATCACCGCTCTCCTTTTTACTTCTGAGAAAAGGGGTCAATCTAGCCAAAATGTACTTATTAACCCTTGCCTGGGAGTATCTAAGGAAGACCTTGCTGATAAACTGTGAGGTTTTGCTGAGGTGGTCATTATACCATTTTGCCTGGGACAGTCTCTACATAGTAATGAATAGCAGCCCCTTCACCTTCCGGTGTTCCAGGCTGAGTAACACACACTATGGGCAGCCCATTTTTATATACAGCATATATCATGCTGCCTCTAGATCCTGGGATAAATGGCTCCATCTATCTGCACTCTTGCCTCGTCTTCCTTGTGCACTGACAATCTGATGAAAACTGCAGGAGAGTCCTGGACTCAACTCTCCAGCATTAGTGGTCAAATACAATCAGAATAAGAATCCATTTCAAGGTGGACCTTATCCTCCCACAGAAGTTTATGAACAATCAGAGACAAATTACTAGTTTGCCCCAGGGACATACCTCAAAAAAAAAATACTATTTACAAACTGGCCAATATGTTGATACTTGATTGTGTCCTAATTATTAACCCAAAGGACTCCATAAAAATGGAGGTAGATCCAAATTTCCTTTAGGTCTAAATATTTCTCTTTGCTAATAGCAAAACCGTTCATTCAGTCACCTTATCTAGAAACATTAGGATTAAATTTGAATCTCTATCTCCCCCCTGCACAATTAGTGACCAAGTCCCATTGATTCTATTTTAAAAGCTCCTGACATTTATTACCTACAAATCTTGTATCAAACAAGCTTTTTTTTTTTTTTTTTGAGAGGTCTTTGCTATAGGGCATGTGCACTCACCAGAGAGACAGAAACAGAAAGCAAGAAATAAACCCCCAGAAAGGATGGCGACACTGCAATCCCTTCTCCTCCATTCTCCTCTCAGGATCCTGGGCATGCACGCACACGCACCCGGCATGAGTTTAAGCCACTTGGTCCAGGACTCAAACCGTGGTCGACTACATGGGAGTCCAGCAACATAGCCATTATGCTAACAACTAGTCCCATATCAAACAAGATTTCTAACCTGCAATGGGTATAACGGCCTTTCTCTACTTTTGGTCCTCCAATTCATCTCCTTCACTTTTGAGAGAATTAAATAAAGCAATCTCTTTAGTTCATCGCCTACTTAATACCGTCAGATAATAACTAAACACCTCTTATCCGGACACACAAGAGCTTTAACAGTTGCATTTGAGCTTCCCCATCCATCCTTAATTCCAACCACATCTCTTGCTAAGCAGATATTATTTAATAGTTCTCATCCAGGGGTGATATTAGATTCTAGAAGGTGTTTAAAAATATTTTGGGATTCTTTTACTAGTGACACTGAGTTGAGGACATTTAATGGGCAGGGATCAATGGCACAAAATGTTTAGCAATCTAGGGCAAGACCCATAAACAGAAGATTGCCTTACCACAATGCCAAATAGCACACAGGTGAGACTTGATTTTTGAGCTGGTTACTTTACATGCATATGGGTCCTATATTCTAGAATTTACCTAATTATGCCTCTAGTTCTGCCCCTTTCCAAACTAATATTGTCCTTAAATGATGTTCAAACTCCCTTCTTATCTAAAGACTGTCTCAGCTGAATGTCATGTATACAATGTATTAATGGAATATGCATAAGACTTACTGCCCAGTGATAAAGCACTTAATGCATTAAATTATTATTAAACCACAACCCGTACATCATTTCACTCCACAGTCCCTTGTTCCTAATCCTCCATATCCCCTAAAACTTGAGCTCCTAAAATGAAAATAAATAAAAAGAAAAAAACAAAATTTAAAAAAAAAAAAAGAAAAAAAAGTTCCTTTGGTATCTCATTCATTTTTTAGCCCCAATTTCTATTGTTAACTTAAAAGATGAGAATCATTCTGTAAATGATTTTTTTAGGTTAAAAGGTAAAAATAAATAAAAACTACCATCATTCCTATATATAAAATATCATTCTTAATCTTATTACAGTTGTTTAACTTAGAACTCAGAATTTTTTATTTATTTTTTTTTTGGTGGGGGGGGAGAGGTTTTTGCTATAGGGCATGTGTGCTCACGTGTGCTCTCCAGAGACCGAAAATGAAAAATCATTCCCCAAGGGAATGGCCATGCCTCAGTCCCTTCTCCGTTCACCTCTTGGGATTTTGGGTATGCACATACACACACACACACACACACACACACACACGGTGTGAGTTCTAAGCCACCGGGTCCAGGACGTGAACCGCGGTCGACTACACGAGATTCCAGCGACATAGCCATTACGCTAACTGCTGGTCCCCAGAACTCGGAATATTTTGAAATAAATTTCTTTAACAGTAATGGTGCTTTAAAGAAATCTAAAATATGCATACTTACTTGCAAGTTAGACTAAAACAGATATTATAAACACAGATAAAACAGAAAAAGAAGCTATAGAAACTGTGTTAAACCAGAGAGAAAACCCTTGCTAGAAAGTATTTAAAGTCCTTTGCAGGGTTTTCTCTGGAGGCAGGCCGGGGGAGTTATTGTCAGCACAGAGTACATCCTCACAAAAGCCTGCCTAACAAACTGTGTTTGAGATACTTGTGGTAAAATAAGTTTTTATGTAATCAAAATAAATAAGTGCGTGGCTGTCATGTATTTCTATACAAAACAAAGTAAAAGTACTCTTACACTACCCCACTCATTTTTGCAAGTTTCATCTTAAAGTACTACAAATATATCTTTTTTCCATTCAAAACTTTTAACTCAGCTTATCTCCTAAGTTGCAAATCAGTAAAATTAGACAGAAGTCAAATGCTCACTTGCACATCTGTTCATGTCTGGGGCTCGGTGTCCATAATAGCCCGATGGGACGGAAATGCAGGCATTCTCCATACTGGCGCATCCCTTCTCTTCGAAGGAAGAAGAACAACTTCTGTTGACATCTGCTGCACCCATTGTCCTTTGAACAAGACAAACAACCCTTGCAAATGGGATTTGATACATAACTAGCTGCAAAAGAAAAATAAGAAACAAATGTTTATGGATATAATCAGATTTCTCTCAATACATGCAGAAAGGACAAATGTCTCACCTTTCTGCTCTACAAACTTAGATATACTAAACACACACGCGAAGGTCATAGGAGACAACCAAACTTAAAAACAAAGAAGAAAACTCAGCGGCAGGGTTAAGACCAGAAGCTGAAACTGAATGAATGACCCATGGGGATGTTAGACCAGACAAAGGTAGAATTTATGAAGGAGTTCTGAATCCAGGAATACACACACATGTGTGTGTATGTATGTGTGTGTGTGTGTGCATATGTATGTATATTTATACACATATACACCGTTACACTACCCCACTCATTTTTGCAGTGTGTATGTGTGTATATGCACACAAAAAGCTTATACTTAGCTCCTTTTATGTAAACAGAAGCCATGATAGCTGTTTGTCCATGACAAGTACTACAAGCCCCAGCCCCAACCACAGAAGAGAATTTCAACTCTGGACTTGGGCGACACAAAAAGTGAAAACGTTAGAGAGAAAACATTACTCAAGAGATATAGGAAACTCAGGCCTACAAAACATCCAAGTAGAGGATTTAAATTCAAATTATCATTCTAACAAGGATACTTAAGTCAGGGACTTTCTATAAAAACTTGTACATATATAGGAAAATCAACACAACAAAAACATTTTAAAATACTTACTACAAATTTTCTACAATCCCTAGACTTGGGATTGTAGAAACCACTTTAACATCAAAATAAATCACATGAAGAAGCAAACCTCCAAGAGAAAGAGTTAACCAAATCAATAAGAAGGAAAATTCGTATGTGAAGAATAATGAAGAACATTCTGAAAAAGTCTTTTAAATATCTATAGAGTAGATAGAGATAAAGAACTAGAAATTACATGGAAAAAAAACAAAAATGTACAAATTAGAATGAAATGGAAATTCCAAAACTAAAAAATAAATCCATGAACAAGTTGAATGGTAGACTTAAAAAGAATAACATAACTGGAAAACAGATTTAAAGAACTACAGCACAAAATGAGATTTTAAAAAATATGATTCATGTAAAAGAAAATGAAAAAGTTCCAATATATGATTATAGGTATTACAGAAGGAAAGGACAGAGGATGAGTAACACCTACTATTCAAAGAGATCATGTCTGACCTGTTTCCAGAATTAAAGACTGACATAAATTATTTAATGGAAAATTGATAGATCCAGGGAAATTAGTAAAAACAAGTCTACATCTAAACATAGCATACTTATGCTAACGAATAAAGTCAAACCAAAGAGGACCAGTAGATGATCTACAAAGGAGTAAAAATTTGACTAACAGAAGACTTCTAATCAGAAAAAATAAATGTTAGAGGGTGAGGAAAAATGATTAATTACTATTCGGCAAGTAATCATTGTTTAAGCATGAGGGCATATTAAAGATATTTTCAATCAAAAACCAAGGCAATAAATTTATCAGTAAGAGGATTCACTAAAACAACTTCCAAACTGTGTGCATTGGAGAAAATAAAATGGATCCCAGAAGAAGTGGTATGCAACAAGCAGGAATGATCATGCCTATTGAGAAATATGTTAGCATGCCTATAAAAGTATAGATTTTTTTAAATGATGATTCCTTTTCAGGGTTTTATAATACATATTTTATGTTGAACAGAAACAATGTAGAAGATTTGAGAGGCAAGCTAAAGCACTCAAAGTACTGCATTACTAGGACTAGCAGTTGGAGTAATGGCTATGACACTGGACTCCCATGTAGTCCATAGAGGTTCAAGTTCCAGACCCAGTGGCTTAAACCCACACCAGGTGCATGTGCATGTGTGCCCAAGATCCCGAGAGAAGAATGGAGGAGAAGGGATTGCAGCGTGGCCATACCCCCGGGGGAGTGATTTCTTACTTTCTGTCTATCTCTGTCTTTCTAGCAAGCACACACTCCCTATAGTAAAAGCCTCTCAAAAAAAAAAAAAAATGCTGCATTACTGAGAAGGACCAACATAAATTAAAATGTACGTATTATCATTTTTGTATATATATAGTCCATTTGCTTATTTATCTTAGGAGTTTTAATACAGCTGACCCTTGGACAATATAGGTTTTTTTTCTTTTTTCTTTTTTTCTTTGAGAGGTTTTTGCTATAGGGCACGTGTGCTCGCCAGACAGACAGAGAGAGACAGAAAGCGAGAAATCACCCCCCAGGGGGGATGGCCACGCCACAGTCCCTTCTCCTCCATTCTCCTCTAGGGATCTTGGGCACACACGCACATGCGCCCAGCATGAGTTTAAGCCACCGAGTCCGGGATACAAACCACAGTCGACTACATGTGAGTCCAGCAACATAGCCATTACGCTAACTGCTGGTCCCAGAACAATACAAGCTTAAACTACAAATCCACTTATGTGTAGACTTGTTCAATAAAACTATAGATGTGTTCTCTCATAATTTTCTTAAATAACATTTTCCCCACCTAACTTACTTTTCTGTAAGAATACAGCATGTAATAGATATAACATATAACATATGAATTAATTGACAGTTTAGGTTATTGGTAAGCCTTTTGGTTAACAGCAGGCTGTTAGTGGTTAAGTTTGGGGGAAGTCAAAAGTTTGTGAATTTTTGACAGTTCTGACGGTCAGCACCCTTTACAAACATTGTTCAAGGGTGAACTCTATGTACTTGGAGTGCTAAGGTAAGTATTCTGGTTCACAGGTTAATTTAGTCTGAAAACAGCTAGAAGCTAATGGACACATCTTTGAAAGGGCTCACTTGGAAGAGTCACCCGAGGTGAGCACATACGGCATCCTATTACAGTACAGTGATGGACTCATTCTACCTTGAAGGTACTGACTACAAAAGCAGTTATAAAATACATAACGTAAACCAGTGACAGCTACACACAGATGTAATAGATGGATAAAAACAGTAAAAAGAAACACTCAAATATTTATGAGCAGAATGAACAAATTGTGTTATGTTCATGAGTTTTACCAAAGTATGTGATATTCATACTATGGGTTTTACTCAGTGACAAAAAGGATCACAGAATATACTCAGTGACAAAAAGAATCACAGATATAAAATGACTGAAATTCAAACACACTATGTTGACTGAAAGAATCTAGACACACAATACTCTTGTTGGTTCTGAATGGATAATCATAAGAGCTTTTTAAAGAGATAAGTGATACAGCTAACCCTTATCTGTAAGTTTTGATTTAGATTGTTACATTTTATACACAAAACCACCTTGTTTATACAAATTGTTTTGTTTTGCTTTGTTTATAATTTTTGGGGTTTTTTTGTGTTTGTTTGCATTGGAGAACTGTAAAAAAGCAGAATGTTTTATGATGGTTTTTGCTTCAATGACATTAGGACAAATGTTAAAAAGTCTTAAACACTGAAAAGGGGGAATGCTGTGTATAATTAGTCACCCGAGGTGAGCACATACGGCATCCTATTACAGTACAGTGATGGACTCATTCTACCTTGAAGGTACTGACTACAAAAGCAGTTATAAAATACATAACGTAAACCAGTGACAGCTACACACAGATGTAATAGATGGATAAAAACAGTAAAAAGAAACACTCAAATATTTATGAGCAGAATGAACAAATTGTGTTATGTTCATGAGTTTTACCAAAGTATGTGATATTCATACTATGGGTTTTACTCAGTGACAAAAAGGATCACAGAATATACTCAATGACAAAAAGAATCACAGATATAAAATGACTGAAATTCAAACACACTATGTTGACTGAAAGAATCTAGACACACAATACTCTTGTTGGTTCTGAATGGATAATCATAAGAGCTTTTTAAAGAGATAAGTGATACAGCTAACCCTTATCTGTAAGTTTTGATTTAGATTGTTACATTTTATACCAAAACCACCTTTTTTATACAAATTGTTTTGTTTTGCTTTTGTTTATAATTTTTGGGTTTTTTTTGTGTTTGTTTGCATTGGAGAACTGTAAAAAAGCAGAATGTTTTATGATGGTTTTTGCTTCAATGACATTAGGACAAATGTTAAAAAGTCTTAAACACTGAAAAGGGGGAATGCTGTGTATAATTCCGTTTCTACTAAGGTCAACGATAGGTAAGGCTAGTCTATGGTGACAGAAATAAGAACAGTACAGGACCAGCTCATGACTTAGCAGTTAAGGGAGCTGGATCCCACATGGCTAACCATTGTCGACACTAGGGTCAGACCTACGGGCTTGAAAAATATACTGGGTACACATGTACATGTCCAAAGTCTTGATGAGATAGGCAAATGAAGAAAAAAAGATTGCAGCATGATTACACCCTATCATGAGGCAATTTCTCTCTGGCAAGTGCTCACGTGCACTAGCATTAAAAAAAAAAGAAAAAAGAGGGCCAGCAGGTGGCATGGAGGTTAAGGCATTGGCCAGCTACACAGTTTGAGTCCTAAACCCCATGGCTTGAGAATCACAACAGGCATGTGAGCATGCATGCCCAAAATCCTGAGAGGAAATGGCTTGCAAAATGGCCGTCCCCCCTTGGGATTGATTTCTCATTTTCCCTCTGTCTGTCTATCTCTCTCTTTCTCCCCCTCTCTCTCTCTCGTAGGAACAGGCACTCTAGAGCAAAAACTCAAAAAAGGAAAGAGAAAAGCACATGCCTTTGAAGGCTGAAAACTATATGGACAGAAGGATGACAGAATTTGGGGGTAAGGGATACATTCATTTTCATGAGCTGCCATAATATATTATTGCAATCTGGTATCTTCAACAATAGGAATTTATTCTCTCAATTCTGGAGACTAAAAGTCTGAAATCAAGGATCTGGCAGGACCATGTTCCTCTGAAGGTCCTACGAGAGTCTTTTCTTGCCTTCTCCTGCTTTAGGTGCCCCTAGACATCAGTTGGTTTGTGGCAGCACAACTCCAATGTCTACCTGTGTTTTGTTTTGGAGATTTTTTTGGAATAGGGTGTGTATACTCACCAAAAAGA